TTCGTCCAACAAAACCGTTCCTGAATTCGCTGAAGGGTCTTCTTTACACCTAAATGCCCTCAAAGGACTATCGTGTAACTGACGAAGTACTTCCGCTATTCCGCTCTTTGAAATCACCAATCTTCTCTTTTCTGAACCGTCATAATTTTCCAGGACTCGTTTAAGCAAGCTATCTTCCATGATAAATAAGTCCCACCGGGACGTCTTAACTACTGAGCATAGGTTTGATATTTCTTGCCAAGGTAGCCGACGGTTTTCCTCTTTCCATTTTCGAATTTTCTGTACAACTGGATCTTTCTCTTCTTCTTCCCTTAAGTTGGTAGGCGTCCAGTCGCCATTGACTATCGTTGTTCTTAGCACTGCTGCTTTCTTGTATTCCGTTTTGTTGCAGTGGGAACACTCTGCTGGGCATGGCCTTGTGGAAAGGGAATCAGCGTTTCTGTGGAGAACTCCGGCCCGTTGCTCAATCTTGAAAACGTATTCTTGGAGTCGTTCGATCTACCTAGCTATCTGACCCTCTGGATTCTTAAGCTACATCAACCACTTAAGCATGGTCGGCTCGGCTTAAAAACTTTCTTCCATGGAGGTATTGATAGAACTGCTCTACTGATTTCACTACTGCTAGAAGTTTTTTTCTCGTGACACAATAATTCCGCTCAGGTTTTGAAAAGAACTTTACTAAAATATCCAAGAACTCGTTGCTGTCCTCCTTGAATCTGAGACAGCACTCCTCCAATTCCACATTACTTGCATCTGTATCTATGATGAACTCTCCTTCTGGTAGTGGATACCGTAAAATTTATGCTGTAAAATGCTTTTTCAAGGTCTCAAAGGCATTTTAATAGTCTCTATCCCAGCGGTAATCTCTTGCTTCCTCTGTGAGTCACGTTAATGGCTTAACGATATCTGCAAACTTCTTAATAAAGCTCCGGTAGTAAGTACATAGTCCAAGAAAACTTCTCACTTGATGTTTGTCAGTTGGTTCTGGTCATTCCTTAATGAAATCGATTTTTCCCTTATCCACGGCCACTCCTTCTTTATATAGTCTTCTTTATATATACTCTGACTATATGACCCAAATAATTGACTTTACCTTGAAATACCTGGCACTTCTTGGGTTTAACACCAATTGGGCTGCTTTAAGTTGATTAAAAACGTTTTCTAAATTCTTCATATGGTCTTCAAATGTCTCCCCCAAGACGATTATGTCATCTAGATAAACCAGGCATATTTTCCAAGATAACCCTCTACACACTTTTTACATAAGCCTCTCAAATGTCGCAGAAGCATTACAGAATCCAAATGGCATAACGTTTAATTGTCAAAATTCAGATACTGTGGTGAAGGCTGTCTTTTCTTTATCTATTGGATCCATTTCTACCTGTCAGTATCCAGACTTTAAATCCAAAATAGAAAACATTTTACTTCCAGCCAATGTCTCCAACGTGTCGTCGATTCGAGACGGAGGATAACTATCTTTCTTGGTAACGTTGTTCAGCAAACGGTAATCCACACAGAACCTCGTCGTTCCGTCTTTCGCCTTCCTAAACACTCGTTTCAGCTTCCTCTCTTTTCGCCTGTGATAATCGTCAAACTGTTTGACGATTTGGCTTAGCATTACCAGTATCAATTTTATGCTTAACAACGGTAGTTCTTCCCGTCTTTCCTCCTTTCGGTAACAAAATATCGCGATACTGCCTTTTCTTTTTCATACCATCCATTCGCTCTTGCAGCTGATTCAAACTGTTTCATGTAGTTGTTCCATGACGATTTTCCGTCGAAAGTTGGGACTTTAACATGAATAGAACCTCCACTTCCTTCAAATTTCGGCCGTGTTTCCAACTTACATTTCGTCTCGTCTTCTTTTGTCTCTACTGTAATTGAATTGTTTACACTCTCTGCTATCCCTGTTTTCTCCTTTTTCTTTTCCATCTCTTTCCATATCTTCTTTTCGAAGGCCAACATATCGGTAGCAACTTGGTTTTTTAACAAAGACATTATATCGTCGAGGGCAGACATCTCAGAAGTGACTTTATAGATGTTAGCTGAAACTTTGTTTTCCAGAGAAGAAATCTAGATATAAAGTTTATTTTGTATAGAAGCGATGTCGTCGGAAACTGTGTTCTCTAATAATGCGATGTCATCAGAAACTTGAACGTAAAAAAATGTCATGGCAGCGCAATATTCGACAATGGACAGGAATCCACAGCTATGAAATGCTTCGCAATGCTACTAAAAACAGAATTATTTAATCCAGAATATTTAACATCTCACCTGACAAGACGATGTACGGTGGACGCCTATGCAAAAATGCACGACACCTTAAGAAGAAGAAGATCAGAAACTTTCCAAATATCGCCAGAAACTTTGTTCTCCAATGATGCGATATCACCAGAAAGTTTCGAAATCGACGAGATGAAAGCAGCATGTTTGTCTTTAAATATATAAGTTTCTGGGTTCAAACCCTCTTCTTTCAAAGCGTACTTTAGTCGTTGAATTAAACCAGCTTTTTTCTGGTAGAAGCTAATTCTCTTTCCTCGAGATCTCTTCTTGAATTCGTAACTGTAAGCTCATAAATCGTAGTCATTTTCATAGTAAATTTAAAGTTCCACTCTGACACCACTGTATTATTTTTAATAATCTAATTTATTGCCTTTTTTGCGTATTTATTGCCTATTTATTATCAAAGGTTCTATTTATAACACTTACAAGTTTAATAAACTCTTAATACATTTTTAACAGTTTTACACTTATCACTTATTACTACGAACTAGAACACAACTACTTTAATTTATATCTATGTACAATATTTATTTCGGACTAAAAACTGTTTTTGACTAAAATGTCCCATATATACTAATCAACCGTTAGACTAGAATTCCGGCAATTCCCTTCGAACAGACGAGAAAGTCAACCGGACTGGTTTTCATTCGACCTTCTTCTGGAAACTTCTAATCGTAAGAGACCACTCAGATTTTACCTGAAGTTCCTGCCGGCTGGAGTAAGATCTAGAAAAGACGAATGGGACAGAAATAATATGTTTAAAGTTATGAGTTATATTTATCGTAACAGTATTAAGCAAATACAATTATAACTTTCCGATATATTTTTGATAACGTACTCCAAAATTTATTACTGAATTTTTTTTGTATAATTAGAGTACGTATTCTATTATTTAACATTTTATTATTTGTTGGCAATGCCGTCTCCTTTTAAATATTTATAATATGGTTGAGTTTATTTGTTATCTTTTTCATTTTATCTTGTTATTTTTTAAACTTATTTAACTTCTGTTTTGAATTTATTTTCTTCTTTCTAAATTTTATAATTTTATTTTACCATTGTTTATGTTTTATTGCTCTGCTTTTCACTCTAATTTTTTTCCAATCACTTAATGTGGTAACAAAAAGAAGTCTTTCAGTCTGAAGCTTGCTTTTTCTTTCAGGAGTTTTCCTTAACCCTAGCTATTCTTTGACTCACGGTTTGGATAATTAATAACATTTTAATTAGAATACTCTATAGCCTCAAGTACAAAATCAGTCTCATTTGTATTAGTAATAGCTTCAGAATGATTACAGTCAAGTAAACTTTATTATGGTTAAGCTTTAGCTTATAAGAATAGCAATATCGTCATCTAAAATTATTGCTGTAATGACTATATCAATTTCGTGTATGATTTGAGGTATTACAGTATTAATGTCAAATATTTTAATAGGTATCGGGTAAATCAATTTCCCTTATAGTACTCATAGATGGATCGGCAACAAAATTCAAATTGTTTTCAAAATCCAAATTATTCTTTTCCGTGTTCGCCGTTTGAATTTTTTTCCATATTTTAGGAGTTAAAAATGTTCATCAATTTCTGCATTAGTATAATCTTTTAATTCTTGCAGTAAAATAAATCACATTCTTGTTGAAATCTGTTGGTTGGTCTTTTTGTTTTCCTAATTATTTTGAAACATCGATTGTATTTATGAAAAAAAATGATTTTTGCAATTCTAAAATAGTCTTCTTATACTATTTTTATACAGGTATTGTGCCACTAACAAATGAAATAACAGATTTTTTAACATTGTTTTGGATCCAAATCTTATACAAGACATATACTCATAGAAAATTTTAGCTTTAATATAGTCGTTATCATTAACATCAATTCTCCAACATTCTAAAGTGCTACTGACTATATTAGTTAAGTAGCCTGTTATGTGGATAAGTAATCATAGCTGAAATTTGTATACCGAATGCTAAAAAGTAAATAAAAAGTTTACTTTTGCAGCTCCTCGACCGACTTAGATTCTTGGCGGCGACAGAAGAGAGAAATAAGAAAATTTTTTAAATAATTTTAAACTTGTGCTCGATATTTTGCCTTTAATTTGTCAAAGTTAAACATTTTTGTTTTTTATAAATACCTACACCATTTAATTTTTCTGTTGTTACGAAATAATAATATATTAAATGAATATATTATTAAAATCAAACATATTCTACAAGTAGAGGATAGAAAAATATTATATATATAGTAGTTCTACTATCAACCCAGTAAGTAGTTTCTGCTAACAATATTACAATATTATTTAGATAATTTGTGCTAAAAAAAATCAAATGGTGCAATCTATCACAGAATGGACACTCAATGGGTTCAATATTTCACTAATACCAATAACTGGGTACATGCCGGCAATTGGGTGTCTTACCCATTATATACATAATAAACACATTTATTTATTTGTTTATTTCCCTGATCTCCACTGCTTCTATATATCCACTCCTATTTTTCTGATAGATATTCATCTATTCACATCTATTGCATCTCAGATATCTCTTCAGTCCTTTGATAAAAACTGGATATTTTACATATAAAAGCATATCTTTTTCTAATTTAATTTTTTTTTTAAGTTTTTGTATGTATTTTGTAGAAGTAAGTTTTTGTAGATTAATTGTATTTAATTAATGTTTGATTAATTAAATATTGTGCTAATACTATTAATTATTATTTTCAGATGCTAAGAAATGTAAATGTGGGCCTGATATTAAAGGTAAGTTTATTTTTGTTCAACTTACTTTTATTTCAAAAATTCTATTTTTAGAAATATGTTCCTGCCCACTCTCATCTGTCGAAAAGCTAGAATTGGCAGAGAAGATGGCTACAAAACTACAAGTTGCACAAGATGAAATTGACGAATTAAAAAAAGAATTATATCAACTTCAATTTACGGAACTGACCAAACATAACAAATCAGCTGCGATATATAAAGAGATTATGAAGGGGTCTGCTCTTGACTCGGTAAGTGTTATCTTTTGTGTTATGTGTTATACGCATATATATATATATATATATATATATATATATATATATATATATATATATATATATATAGTAGTTTTGAGTTTCTTGAACCGTATTATATTTAATATAAAATTAATGTTTCTTGGGTTTAGGTTCAATAAAAATATGTTACATGTGGAACTAGATTTTATTTTCCATTGCAATCAATCAACGTTTCGGCAGAAAACCCTTGCCTTTGTCAAGATTCTAAAATGTGTATATGTATAAGGACAAACAGATATTTTAAAATATGTATATATATGACTTACCAAAACGTAAAACGTGACACAGACATTAACGAACTGACTATAAAACGAACTATAAAAGTTGATATCTGATATCTCATTGTTTACTGTCATTAGTATATAATTATTTTTATATGAGCGTATCGTTTGATGTTTTCGAAAAAGGTAAGGTGGAGATATGTTATGACTTTGAGAGCTTTTTATGATGTGTATATTATTATTGTTTTAAATCAGATTGAAATATATTTTATTTAGGTTTTGTGTATCTTTTTTTTCATATACGAATCAATAGAAATAAAAAGAAACACCAACGCAATAAATGACAATTTATATATATATATATATATATATATATATATATATATATAAATATATATATATATATATATATATATATATATATGTATATTTAATTCCAGTTCAATTTTCTTGAAGACAACTTATTGTTCAATTTTAGAGTTTTGGAAGACCTGGCACAGCTCATAGCACTCTTAAAGACCAATCTCGAACTTTGTATAAACCAAATTCAAGCGTAAAAACGTTTGCCAAGTGGCAAAACTCAAACTGCTGCGTCTTCATATCAACAACTTTTTACAGGTAATTCAACGATTTACTGAAAATTTTTTTTTAGTAGTTTTTAAATTATTTTCTGTTACAAATAACTTTACAGAGAATTCTATTTAACTATTCTAATTTAGTATTATTAATAATTTATTATATATATATATATATATATATATATATATATATATATTATATATATATATATATATATATATATATTATATATACATCAAAATCAAACATTTTAGTAACGTCATCTTACGTAATTTATTTTAAACTTTAAAAGTATTAACTAATACCAAAGAAAACTGCTTTACATTTTTAGTGTTGGGGACCTGTATAACTAGTAGCATACTAACCAGGTCATTTTGCATCTCAATGTGCCGGCCCTCAACTTCAAACTTCAACTTCTTCATATACTAGATAACAACAACAAAGTTCCTCTCTAAACCATTCCTTAGACAGCAATAATGTAGGTGAGTCTATATCAAATACTACTAATCCTAAAATGATATGTGAACAAACACCAATTACCCCTACATTTAGTGAGCCCAATCCCGACATACCCGCTTCTTTTGAATTTCAAACAACTCCGATAACTAAACCTACGATCTCCAAACGAAATTTATCTGAAATTGCAACACCTAGCCCAGAAGATACACCAGATATTACTAATTCCTCAGAACCAAAATCTTACTTTACAACACCTGTTCCAAAAGTTCCAAAGAAAAAATTGAAATCGAAAGATAAACCCTCATTAGAATTTCGAGAATTGCCCCAAAAGATAACCAATTTCATTGACAATCACAATCCCAAGTTCCCACTCGATAGTCAACAATTCACTGATCTGTTAGAGAACACTCACGGTAGTTATGATGCATTAAGCATTGCTAAAGACTATACCCTACATATTCCATCTCTTATAGAAATTATAAATGAAATACATACCCAGGCTGAAGATCGAAACATGAAAACTAAATGTACTAGACTAAGCAAAAAATTGACCAAACAACTGCTCGAACACGTTGGTTCATCTGACTTAGACAGCGATATATCACAAAACTAATTATTTAAATAAAAATATAATTTACGTATTATAATATTCTACAGTGGAACTTAAATAGTTTTCACACTCGCCTACCCTTATTTCAGGTACTTATTGGGAAATATTCACCTGATATTATATGTCTTCAAGAAACAAATTTTAAAAGCAACAATGCGTGTAACTTGAAGTCATATAATGTTTACTATCAAAATAGACAGACAAATCATGCTAGTGGCGGTGTTGCGATATATGCTAAAACCGATTTACAAGTAAAAAGAATCACAATTTATAAAAACTTAGAAGCAATAGCAGTAACGATAACAATAGGTACTAATCAAAAAATGAACATATATAACATTTATATTCCCCCGAACCAAAATATCCAAGAAAATGAACTTTCCGACTTAATTATGCAAATTCCATCACCAAAATTAATTCTCGGGGACTTTAACAGCCATAATCTTCTATGGGGTTCCGAAAAAACAACTAAAAATGGAAAGTTATTTGCAAACGTAATCAATAGCATGAATTTAACAATAATGAACGACGGAGCTAAAACTCATTTCGACGCAGCTACTGGAAATTTTTCAGCTATCGACTTGTCTATTTCTGACCCATCGACGTTACTAAATCACACATGGCAAACCGTACACGATTTATATGGAAGTGATCATTATCCAATAATACTAATAAAAATTTCCAAACTCACAACAAAAACCAATCCTTTGCAAAAGTGGAAAATTAAGCAAGCCAACTGGAACATTTTTTAAACAAAAATTACTGAAGAAATATCGAATATCCCTATAATTAAAGAAGACATGCACTTAACTTTAAAATTGTTTAATAACTTAATCACTGAAGCCGCCACAATTGCAATGGGAAAAACAAAGTATATAACAAAAAACAAAGTTGTACCCTGGTAGAACGAAGAGTGTAAATTGGCAATAGTACAAAGTAAAAAAGCTTTAAATACTTTCAAAAGACACAAAACCAATGAAAACTCAATAGAGCTAAAGAAAAAAAGGGCATATGCAAAATTAATTACTTCCAAATCTAAAAAAGAGTCTTGGAAAAAATACGTTCAAAGTATTAACAGGAATACAAACATGTCATCAGCATGGAAAAAAGTTAAAAAGATATCTGGTGTTAGTACACAAAATGGAATAAAATACCTAAAACGGAATGGAAACATAATTAATGAAAACAAAAAAATTGTAGAAAAATTAGCTGAAACATACAGACAAAATTCTACAAATTAAAATTACAGCAATACTTTTTTACGATATCGGGAAGAAGAAGAAGCAAATCCAATAGAAATTTTAGCCAATAACGATGATTTAAATACTCCAATTAATAAAACAGAACTATTAGAAACAATCCAAATGTTAAAAGACACATCACCAGGTCCAGACGACATACCCTCAATATTCTTAAAACAGTTACCTGACGAAGCTTTAGACTTTCTATTGAATCTTTTTAATAAAATTTGGTGTAAACAAAAATTTCCTGACTTATGGAGACAAGCTATTGTCATTACTATACTAAAACCTAGCAAGCCGGCTACAGCCGCAGAATCATATAGACCAATATCACTTACATGTTCTACTTGCAAACTGCTAGAGAAAATAATAAATAATAGACTTATGTGGCATTTGGAACATCACAATTTACTTATACCGGAACAAGCTGGATTTCGTCCTTTGAGATCTACTATAGGCTAATGTTTTACATTTAGAAAGTCAAATTACTGAAGCCTTCTGTAACACACAGAAATGCATAGCTGTTTACTTTGACATCCACGAAGCATTTGACTTAGCATGGCGACACAGAATATTAACAAAGCTGCATACTTGGGGAATTCAAGGAAACATGTTGGCATTTTTAAATAACTTTCTAAATGAACGCAAATTTTCAGTACGTAGTAGTGGAGAACTTTCTAGTATCAAATCTCAAGACAATGGAACACCACAAGGATCAGTAATTAGCCCTACACTATTTTTAATAGCAATGAATGATATAAAAAATCTCAAGAAACCTGCACAGGCTAGATTATATGCTGATGATATGATAATGTTTATTATAGGAAAAAATATTAACTCGATGGTCAAAATTTTACAAGAAGAACTAAATAAAATCGAAATTTGGTCTAATAGGGGTGGATTCTATTTTTCAGCTGACAAGACACAATATATTATTTTTTCCAAAAAGCCTATTCACACTAACATACCTGCCTTAAAATTCGGCACAAAGTTTTTAAAACGAAGTACAAAGATAAAATATTTAGGCATAACATTCGACGAAATCTTAAGTTGGAAATTACATATTAAACAATTGGCGATATCATGTCAAAATGGTATAAATCTTCTTAAATGTTTAGCCAACAAACAATGGGGTGCTGACGGAGATACATTATTACTGTTTTATAGAAGCCTAATCAGATCAAAATTGGACTACGGGTGCATTGCATATTCTTCAGCGTCGAAGTCAAATTTAAAAATCTTAGACGTTATACACAACAATGCGTTACGCATAATCTCTGGAGCTTATAGAACAACTCCTGTTGCAAGCCTCGAGTGGGAACTTGGAGAGCCATCATTACGTGAACGACGGAAATTACTTAGTCTATCTTACGCTTCAAAACTAACATCACTACAACCTGACAACCATTTTCTTACACAGTCATCATTATCAAATATCAATATAAGAACACATTTACCATTTCAATTAAGGATCAAAAACATTTTAAACTCTATTGAAATTTTTAACTTTCCCTCAACACATTCAGCAAACGTAAACACGCCTCCTCCCTGGTTAATACCTTTGCCTACTTTAAATTTAGAACTAACATTATATCATAAATCTGAAACTAATCCACAAATATTTATAAGCAATTATAATAGAATACTTTCTTTTTTCCCTTAATATACTCAAGTTTACACAGATGCATCTAATACAACTTCTGGTGTAGGATCATCATTTGTTATAAGAGACATAATAAAAAGTTTCAAATTGCCCACACAATCCACTGTGATAACTGGAGAATTGTATGCAATATACAGAGCTCTAATTTACATACAAACAGTCAAACCAGATAAATTCCTTATTATTACTGACTCAATCAATTCTCTTCATATACTGTCAAAAATGTACACTTAGGCACTTAGGCATTAAAGGAAACGAACTAGCTGATAAAAATGCTTTAGAAATAGCAAATTCCCCAAATATCAGACCGATAATAAAACCATTAGCAGAAGATCTCAAGACGTACTTTAAACAAAAGCTGATATGTAATTGGACTAAGTGTTGGGAAGAAAAATCCTCAAAGTTAAAAGAAATTAAACCAAATTTTGAACGATGGTCTAACAACGCCCCTAGCCGTTTCGTTCAGGTTGTATTAACCAGGCTACGATTAGGACACAGCAAACTCACACATGAATTTCTCATGAAGAAGTAACCTCAACCAAAATGTACGAGTTGTGACGTGCCGTTAACAGTGAAACACGTATTAACGGAGTGTCCCAAATATAGTGCTGAAAGACTAACTAATAAAATTCCATCGGTTATAAGGGACATCTTTAGTGAGTGTACCAGTGAAAATATTGTGAAATTTCTTAAAGACATTAATATTCTTAACAAAATATGATATTTATTTATAAGTTACTTATCTCATATTTATGTTTATATGTCGCTAATAACCCCAGAGGTTGATGCGACCATGTTTGTAAATAAATAAAAAAAAAAGAATATCTACAAACTTAAATATTATATTAGTCATTACGAATGGACTCACCAAAAAGACAACCATTTTAAGGATAGAACACTAAAAATACGTTTATTGACGTTTCAATTTCCACTTCGGAAATCGTTCTCAAAATACAAACAGTAAATTAAACAAATTTTGTTTTTTGTTACATAGTGAAAAATTCTTCTAATAATTTAATTTTATCTGACTCATTTATATTGACAATTCAGACATACATTATGCATT